TAGGGGAATTCAAGTGGTTTCAACAGCTTGGCTGCGCTCATAGCACGTGCGCAGTGAAATAGGTTCGCGCAGCTTGGAAGCGGGTTGTCCTGTAAACATGATTTAGTTCCGAGTAGTAAATGTTCCAGTTCGGAATAAATGCCGTGAAATTGAGAATGGATGACACGAATAAAAATTCCGCACATACGGCAAATATTCCATCAAATAGGAACAAATACCGTAGGCCTATCCTATTCCAGTTATTATTGAATGCAAAATGGACTCATCCAACTTGTCAACATCCGGGATGTCTACTAACTTCAACTTGGTTACATGTTGACTGTAACCTGGCTACTAACTGTAACTTGGTTACATGCTGATTGTAACCTGGCTACTGACCAACTGTAACTTGGTCACATAATGACTGTAACCTGGCTACTGAGTGACTGTAACTTGGTTACATGTTGACTGTAACCTGGCTACTGACTGTAACCTGATTAATGAAGGTAACTTGGTTACATAATAACTGAACTCTTTTTAACACAAGATTCATTTACAATCATCAGTTCGCATTCTGGGGAATCTACAATGTATTTTCATAAAAAAAAATAAGTAACTTTCACACATGATAATTGCTTCTTGATAGCCACATGATTTGTTCCATATGGAACAAATACCGTAGGAAAATCTTTTTTTCCTTTCTGTTCCCCCCACGCCCCAATTTTTAAGACCACCCCAACAAAGAAAACCCTCTTTTAGACTTTTTATGATGTGTGTGGAAGTTCCTCTTTACTCGGAATAAATTCTGTGTGTGCGGAACGAAATAATTGTTCCGCATGCACTATTACAGGAACAAATGTTGGAATGAAAAGTTCCACCGGAACTTTTACTATGGGGGAACCAAATCTTTTATACAGTCCGGTGAATATTCGGTGAAGGCTTTGGTGTGAGCTATTTTTCTAATGTTTTGTTGATATTTCACAGGTGCGAGCTTTTTATATGTTATGACAGTAGATTAACTGTTTATATAATTTCATTTGTCTATTTCACCACACGTTCTTCTTACCGAGTCACTTTCTCAGTTCGATACTTAAAAGCAATGTCATTATTTAGCGTTGACAGAATTTCTAACTGTGATATAGATATGTCGTCACAGACAAAACTCAATGTCTGTTTTATTGACACCTATGTGTCTGCCTGCCTGTCTGCTAATGACCATATTCAATACACAACTGCGATCACTGACCACATGCAATTTGAACTTAACACCAATCAGGCTATACACCATAAACAAAATGCATTGATTTATGGCCCGAGTTCGGTCTCTGTCACATTATGTAATTACACAGACAGGCAGGTGTGATACTTGTACACATGACATGTTATGATGTCTGTTGATTGCAAAATGTTATACACAAAAAAATGAGCATGTATTTACAAAACCCAACATCTCTATATATACACACACAATGAGCCGTGATGGCATCTGCAAATGAACCAGCCGTTACACTTGAGTGCACACCCACCCGCTCTGACTGGGTTCGGTATCCCGGCTGCTTCGTTTCTTGGGAAGTAAACCCAAGTACACAATATTGCACTTTTGATTTGCGATTGTACGCTTATAATTTTGTTTATATGTTTTTTCATAACCAGCAATGTATATTATATGTCATGAATAAGTGATAATTGTGTTTTAATTATGTTTGATTTTTGGGTTGCTTTTGACCTTTAAGTAACTGTCAGATGATTTGTTCTTTCAGATATGTGGGGGCCGGGGGGATATGTCATCTTCTGTTGACTCTTGTTAATTTACCTGTCAAAATATTTTATATTTTGCAAGAGTTTTCTTTCATCACATTTCAGAGAGACCACATTACATCAGATTCTGTCGACAGTACAGCTTCTCAGCAAACACCTGCTGTCCCAGTGGCTCAAGCCAGTGAATCTCAGCAAGGGGGAATAACTGTGTTTGATTCAGGACCAAAGACCAGACGAAGTGATGGTGCCAGAAACTATGATGATGTTGCTGCATCAAGTGGCACAACTTTGAGAAATAGTCCTGAAGTAGACTATGAATATTCTTGTCCCGTTGACAGTAAAATTGTTTTTACTAAAGTCGAAACAGACACAGAAGACGTATATCCTGTCCCAACGGGCTACCAAACTGAAACTGAAAGCATTAAATGCCTAACTGATGAAGCACCCATAGAAGTCATTGATATTTCCAGTGATTCTGAAGAGGATCAGAAAGATGACTTCATGAAAGAAGAGGAAAGTGGAATCTCTGTTAAAAGAGAGCAGACAGGCAGTGTTGAAGTTTATGATAGTGACACAGATACTCTAAGGAACTATCATCAGTCAAGTAGTTTATGTGTCAGTGGTTGTAGCGATGTTCAACCCTTGACAAAAAGATTGAAAATTGAGTCTTCAGGCAACAAAAGTGATGATAAAACGTTGTCAACAAACACTGAAGTGTTTTGGGCTAATTCAACTTCTCCTGTGTTTTCAACTTCTGGTAAAAAACGTAAAGTTGTCTCCCACAGGAATTCCAGAAACAAGAGACCAAAACACCACTGGACATTTTCTGCTCCAATCGAAGTTGCTTCTGCAAGTTACAAAATGCCAGAATCTTCAGAGGAGAGTTACCCAAGCAGTGAGAGTGAAGTAGCAGAGCACACTGTATCTCTTGGTAGCTCTCCTGAACCTTGGCTTGAACCATCAGAAATTAATTCTGTACCACCAGGGTCACCTCAGCATTCGGAAGATTCTTGTAACATGGAACAGACAAAGAAAGGTGTTCCAGAACCTTCCTTCGAAGCACTAGAGGATATTTCTGAATCTAAAGAGTCATTTCAGCACTGTAACATGGAAAAATCAAAGAAGGACACAACCTCATCGGGTGCTCCAGAATCTCAGTTAACTGCTAAACCTTCACGTTCACCCTCTTACATTCCTAGTGTTCAATGTTTAGAAATTCCGGAAGATGTTCCTTGGACAAATGAGAATCATTCTGTGGAAGCAAGCAGGAAGGAAATGGATGCAAAACGTATTTCAGAAAAGCCCCTTACTTCTTCTGTTGTTGATCGAGAACCCTTGCAAGCAACTCTCTCACAAACACCAGCAGATGGTAGAAAGTATTCAGTAGGACAGGGACAAGAACCTCATAAGCCCCAGGTGTCATTAATATCAGCAGACAGTTCTGTTCTGCCTGTGTCTTCAAATGCTGATATGCCCTTAATTGATCCCCGTGCCCAAACCAGAATCCATCCAAGGAGCTTTAGCTGGACCTTTAGAAACTCCAGCAGATGGTGGAGAGGATTCATTAGGTCAGAGACAAGACTCTAACGAGTCCCTTGCATCAGAAACAAGAGCAGGTATATCTGTTCTTCGTGTGGCTTCACAGACTGATGAAGAACCCACTGTTGAACAGTCACCTCCAGCTTTAGAAACTGAAATCAATGATGTCGATGTCGATGCTGTACAGGAAGTAGTGCCAAAGATTGATGCTTCCATGCAACTCAGACCATCAAAGCCAGTCTGTAATGACATCCAAGTTACAGAGATCAAATCAAATCAAATGGGAGAAAAAGCTGATTCTGAAAGCTCTGTGCCTTTTAGTAGTGGAATTACTGATTCCAGATACTGCTATCAGGAATCCAGACCTTTGGACACCAGTCTGGCAGATAAAGAGGCAAACCAGGACCATGACATCCCGAGTGATGTTGTTGATTCAGATGGAAATGACAATAAAGTGTCCATTGATGTGACAACTCAACCTAAACCTGTACTCAACTCTGTCCACCAAGAACATACCCTTTGTTCCAGCAGAGATGTTACAAATCCTGTACCTTCAGATGAGGTTGAGAGAATAGCTCTGTCCTCAGTATCTTGTGAAGGGGACATTAGAGGTGTTGAAGAACATGAACAAACAGGGGTAGTTGGGAGAGGTGTTCATGATCATGAACGATATCTTCCAATGTCTTCAGAATGTTTGGAGAAATATAATGTCACCAAGGAGCCAGAGGCAAGTTTGGTTTGTGAACAAGATGCGGTGCCAACAAATTCTGAGTCAAATGGCATTCATGTTCAAACAGATTCTGTGCCAAATATAGTTAGTAAGCTAACAGGTGCTTCTGCCTGTGAACAAACTGATACTGTGATAAACTTGATGTGTGAACAAATAGATGGTGCTCAAAGAGTAGGCTGTGTGCAATCAAATAATGTGACTAAAATGACAAATAGTCCCAGTGGTGTTGATTTGGAAACTGTTGTGTGCAAAGAGGACACAACACATGTGGATGGTTTTAGTGACCATGCTTCATGTGAAGATAACAAATATGGCTGTTCTTCAGACCAGATTTTCTCCGGTGCTGAAATTACACCTGTCATTAAAGAAATCCAGACCAGGGATGTTTTGTCACAGTTGGATGTGGAAAATCAGTGCAAAATTAAAGGATCTGATACTATAGACAACAAAGACCAAGACAAAACTTCTGCAAGGCAGTTAAGTATTCCCAGTGAAAAAAGTCCAGTTCTGGTGGAAGACCAACTGCTTTCCTCAGAAGAAAGACGACTTAGTTCGAAGGAGGGGGTCACCCTTATCCCTGCAGTTGAAGATCGGACAGAAAAGATTGATGCAGAGGGAGAAGAGTTGAGCAGAGTCACAGACTGGCAAGGCACAAAATCAACTGGCCATGTTTCAGTACTCATTAAAGATGTAGATGCTGATATGGATGTAAATCCCAACCCTGTTACATATACTAGTCAGAGTGGCTATCCAGATTCAGATGTGCTTGTAGAACACAGTTCTTCTGAAACTCCCAGAGCCCTTCACGGTACAGCCAAAGAAGTGAAGAGGGAAACACTGACGGTGCAAAGTGAGTCTTCTGGCTGCAATGATATGGCCGTGATGGACTCACCTGGGGAGTTACATACACTGGAGTCCACTGAAGATGAAAATTTACCTGTGATTGACTCACCTGGGAAGGTGGTTACACTGAGTCCACTGAAGATGAAATGATATGGCCGTGATGGACTCACCTGGGGAGTTACATACACTGGAGTCCACTGAAGATGAAAATTTACCTGTGATTGACTCACCTGGGAAGGTGGTGATAACAGTGGACTCCACAGGAGATGATATTCTTGTGAAGGGCTCACCTGGGAAGGTAGAAACAAAAACTAAATCAACTGAAGATGTACATACATTTTCAATGAACTCACCTGGGAAGGTGATGACACCAATGGAGTCCTCAGCGGGTAAAGATTTTGTAGTGGTTGACTCACCTAGGAAGTTGATTACAATGGAGTCGACTGTCAATGAAAAGGTTGTTCAGAGACAGACACCTGGGAAGGTAGTGACGCAAACTGAGTCAACTGAAGATGAAGATGTTGTTGTGAAGCAGTTGCCTGGGTTGATGGTTAGAACAGTGGAGTCCACTGAAGATGTTCTGAAGGTAGTCACAAGAATTGATATCTCTGAAGATCAGGATGTAGCTCCAGTGGACTCTATTGCAGCTGAAGACGTTCTGAAGGTAGTGACAAGGATTGATATCTCTGAAGATCAGGATGTAGCTCCAGTGGACTCTATTGCAGCTGAAGACGTTCTGAAGGAATCAGATCAGAAGGCAGTGAAAAAAAGGGAATCAACTGAAGATGAAGATTCTGCAGTGATTGACTCATCTGGGAAGGTTTTAACTGCAGTTGACAAGATGAAAGATAAAGTTGTTGTTCTTCAGCAATCAACCCAGAAGACTGTAGTTGAATCTGGTTCACCTGGCAAGATGGTCACATTGTGTGACCTGAGTAACAAAGAAGATGCTGTGCAGGATTCATCTGGGGACACCACTGAAAATGAGAGGTTTCAAAGATCACGCACCACTCAGTCAACTACATGCAAGATACACCTTCCAACTGCATGTCACAAAAGTGTTCAAGAAGACATAGCTCAAGGTGTCAGAGACATCGGCAACGACAACAGTGCCTTTAAGAGCGTAGTATCTGGTTATAGCACCATCGTGCATGAAGGTAAAGAGAAGAACACACATGGAACAGAAAGTATGAATACTGCTTTGGAAGAGATGATGGCCTCTCAAGAAAGTATTAGTCTCAGTTCAGTCTCAGGGAATGATGTTCTAGATTCTGCCAAAGGTACAGGATGTGAACATTTCAGAGTGAAAGACACTAAACACACTGAAATGAGTGAAAGGAGTGATGGTATGGAACCATCAAAATCGAATAGTGCCGTTACTTTGAAGGCGGATGTTGATAATATTGAGGATGAGGATGAATTGTCTCCTGTTATTCCCCATCAAAAATCCTTCACCAGTCTGAAGAAAAGTGAACAAGATGACAATGCAGTATGTGAACATGACTTCTCAGAATCACAAGCAGACTTTCATCTCTACCTCAGTCAGGTAGAAGATTCACAGGCAATAGTATCTGACAACTTTGAAAGTCAAGGTGACCATGATGCATCTCTGAATTTGTGCGAAGAAGTGATGAGTGCAGATAACAAATGTCAAGGTGACATGGAGGCAGATGTGACCAATGGAGGCCCTGAAGGTCAAGGTGACGTGCAGGCAGATGTGATCAGTGGAGGCCCTGAAGGTGAAGGTGACGTGCAGGCAGATGTGACCAATGGAGGCCCTGAAGGTCAAGGTGACATAGAGGCAGATGTGACCAGTGAAGACCCTGAAGGTCAAGGTGACATGGAGGCAGATGTGATCAGTGGGGGCCCTGAAGTTCAAGGTGACATTCAGGCAGAAGTGACCAGTGAAGACCCTGAAGGTCAAGGTGACATAGAGGCAGATGTGACCCCAGTGGGGGCCCTGAAGTTCAAGGTGACATGCAGGCAGATGTGACCAGTGAAGACCCTAAAGGCCAAGATAACAAGGAGGCAGATGTTATCATTGGAGACAATGAAGTTCAAGATAACAAGGAGGCATATGTGACCAGTGGACACCCTGTAGGTAAAGGTGACATTCAGACAGATGTGACCAGTGGAGACCCTGAAGGTCAAAGTGACATGCAGGCAGATGTGACCATTAGAGAATTGTCTCCTGTTATTCCCCATCAAAAATCCTTCACCAGTCTGAAGAAAATTGAGCAAGATGACAATGCAGTACGTGAACATGACTTCTCAGAATCACAAGCAGACTTTCATCTCTACCTCAGTCAGGTAGAAGATTCACAGGCAATATTATCTGACAACTTTGAAAGTCAAGGTGACCATGATGCATCTCTGAATTTGTGCGAAGAAGTGATGAGTGAAGATAACAAATGTCAAGGTGACATGGAGGCAGATGTGACCAATGGAGGCCCTGAAGGTCAAGGTGACGTGCAGGCAGATGTGATCAGTGGAGGCCCTGAAGGTCAAGGTGACATGGGGGCAGGCAGATGTGACCAATGGAGGCCCTGAAGGTCAAGGTGACATGGAGGCAGATGTGACCAGTGAAGACCCTGAAGGTCAAGGTGACATGGAGGCAGATGTGACCAGTGAAGACCCTAAAGGTCAAGGTGACATGGAGGCAGATGTGACCATTGGAGACACTGAAGTTCAAGATAACAAGGAGGCAGATGTGACCAGTGGACACCCTAAAGGTCAAGGTGACATTCAGACAGATGTGACCAGTGGAGACCCTGAAGGTCAAGGTGACATTCAGGCACATGTGACCAGTGGAGACCCTGAAGGTCAAAGGTGACATGGAGGCAGATGTGACCAGTGGAGACCCTGAAGGTCAAGGTGACATTCAGACACATGTGACCAGTGGAGACCCTGACGGTCAAGGTGACATTCAGGCACATGTGACCAGTGGCGACCCTGAAGTTCGAAGTGACATGCAGGCAGATGTGACCTGTGGAGACCCTGAAGGTCAAGGTGACATTCAGGCACATGTGACCAGTGAAGACCCTAAAGGTCAAGGTGACATTCAGGCAGATGTGACCTGTGGAGCAAGACCCTAAAGGTCAAGGTGACATTCAGACACATGTGACCAGTGGAGACCCTGAAGCTCAAGGTCATTCAGGTAGACATGTGAACAGTGGACGACCCTGAAGGTCAAGGCCGGCAGATGTGACCAGTGGAGACCCCTGAAGGTCAAGGTGGCGTGAGGCACATATGACCATTGGAGACACCCTGAAGGTCAAAGTGACATGCAGGCAGATGTGACCAATGGAGACCCTGAAGGTCAAGGTGACATGCAGGCAAATGTGATGAGTGAAGGTCAAGTGGAGAGGCAGATGTGACCAGTGGAGACCCTGAAGGTCAAGGTGACATGGAGGCAGATGTGACCAGTGAAGACCCTAAAGGTCAAGGTGACATGGAGGCAGATGTGACCAGTGAAGACCCTGAAGGTCAAGGTGACATGGAGGCAGATGTGACCAGTGGAGACCCTGAAGGATCAAGGTGACATTGGAGATAATGAAGATCAGATGTGACCAGTGAAGACCCTGAAGTCAAGATGACAAGGTGTGACCAGTGGACACCCTGAAGGTCAAGGTGACATGAAGGCACATGTGACCAGTGGAGACACTGAAGGTCAAAGTGACATGCAGGCACATGTGACCAGTGGAGACCCTGAAGGTCAAGGTGACATTCAGGCACATGTGACCAGTGGAGACCCTGAAGGTCAAAGTGACATGCAGGCAGATGTGTCCAGTGGAGACCCTGAAGGTCAAAGTGACATTCAGGCAGATGTGATCATCAGAGACCCTGAAGGTCAAGGTGACATTGAGGCACATATGACCATTGGAGACCCTGAAGGTCAACGTGACATGCACGCAGATGTGACCAGTGGAGACCCTGAAGGTCAAGGTGACATGGAGGCAGATGTGATTAGTGAAGGTCAAGATAAGGAGGCAGATGTGACCAGTGAAGACCCTGAAGGTGAAGGTGACATGGAGGCAGATGTGACCAGTGGAGACCCTGAAGGTCAAAGTGACATGGAGGCAGATGTGACCAGTGGAGTCCCTGAAGGTCAAAGTGACATTCAGGCAGATGTGATCATCAGAGACCCTGAAGATCAAAGTGACATTCAGGCACATGTGACCAGTGAAGACCCTGAAGGTCAAAGTGACATGCAGGTAGATGTGACAATTGGAGACTCTGAAGGTCAAGGTGGCATTCAGGCAAATATGACCAGTGAAGACCCTAAAAGTCAAGGTGACATGCAGGCAGATGTGATGAGTGAAGGTCAAGATAAGGAGGCAGATGTGGCAGGTGAAGACCCTGAAGGTCAAGGTGACATTCAGGCAGATGTGACCAGTGAAGACCCTAAAAGTCAAGGTAACATGCAGGCAGATGTGACCAGTGGAAACCCTGAAGGTCAAAGTGACATTCAGGCAGATGTGACCAGTGGAGACCCTGAAGGTCAAGGTGACATGCAGGCAGATGTGACCAGTGGAAACCCTGAAGGTCAAAGTGACATTCAGGCAAATATGACCAGTGAAGACCCTAAAAGTCAAGGTAACATGCATGCAGATTTGACCAGTGGAGGCCCTGAAGGTCAAGGTGACATGCAAGGTGACATGCATAAAAGTCAGATTTGACCAGTGGGTTGACCAGCCCTGAAGGTCAAGGTGACATGCAGGATCATGTGACCAGTGAAGACCCTAAAAGTCAAGGTAACATGCATGCAGATGTGACCTGTGGAGGCCCTGAAGGTCAAGGTGACATGCAGGATCATGTGACCAGTGAAGACCCTGAAGATCAAGGTGACATTCAGGCAGATGTGACCAGTGGAGACCCTGTAGGTCAAAGTGACATGCAGGCAGATGTGACCATTAGACACCCTGAAGTTCACGGTGACATGCAGGATCATGTGACCAGTGAAGACCCTGAAGGTCAAGGTGACATTCAGGCAGATGTGACCAGTGGAGACCCAGGTCAATGTGACATCGAGGCAGATGTGACCAGTGGACACCCAGAAGGTCAAGGTGACATTCAGGCAGATGTGACCAGTGGAGATCCTGAATGTCAAGGTGACATGCAGGCTAAAGTAACAACATTTGGAGAACCTGAAAGTAAAGGTGACAGTGATGTTCAGCCAGAAGTAACACTGTACAGTGACCCCGAAGGTCAATATTTCAGGCAGCCAGATGTGACTACTAAAGACCATGAGGACCATGGTGGCATGCAAGCAGATCTAACAATATCTAAAGACACTGATGGTCAAGATGGATCACAGGCAGATCTAACAACCTTCAATAAGATTGAAGTTCAGGGTAGCACTGGTATTCAGGCAGATGTGACATTTGCTGTCACTGATGGCCAAGGTGATAGACAGGTCACAACACTGAAAGAGGCTGAAGATCAAGGTGACACTAATATTCAACAAGGTGCAACAACATTTGAAGAACCTGCATGTCAAAAGGATTCTGTTATTCAGGCTGATGTGACAAAATTTGAGGACACTGAAGGTCATGGTGACACTGAAGGTCATGGTGACACTGATATTCAGGCAGACCTAACAATATATGATGACACTGAAGGTCAAGGCGACACTGATATTCAGGCAGATCAAACAATATATGATGACACTGAAGGTCAAGGTGACACTGATATTCAGGCAGATCTAACAATATATGATGACACTGAAGGTCAAGGCGACACTGATATTCAGGCAGATCAAACAATATATGATGACACTGAAGGTCAAGGCGACACTGATATTCAGGCAGACCTAACAATATATGATGACACTGAAGGTCAAGGTGACACTGATATTCAGGCAGATCAAACAATATATGATGACACTGAAGGTCATGGTGACACTGATATTCAGGCAGATCAAACAATATTTGAAGAACGTGAATGTCATGGTGACACTGAGATGACAGATGTGGGAACATTTAGAAACCCTGAAGGTCAAAGTGATAATGAGGCAGCTGCTCTTAAATCACAGGGAGACCTTGAAGGTCAAGTGGACAAATGTGTTGCTTTGATGAAGTCAAATATGAAAGCTGTTGTAAACTCTATAAATCAAAGCGACAATGAGACCACTTCTATATTGTCAAATGAGCCAGTTGTAAAGGACTTCAAAGGTCATGGTGACAGTGACACAGCAGTGAAACAAGCTGGTAAATCAAACATGAATAAAGCAAAAGTGCATGATGAGAACAGGCATGACAGGTGCTTGAGTAGCCAGTCTAAGATTTTCCAGAAACGCAAAGAACAAGAAGAGAGTTTTGATTTCAGTATGCTGGGGACCGACTTCTCCGCATCAACACCAAAATCAGTTTCAGATTCCTTAGTAGTGAACTGTGATGGCCTGTCATACCAGAAGGATGTTTCAGTAGATCCCAGCCTCAGTGGTACTACAGATGTGGAAGAGTCCAAAGAGAGTGAGCAGGATCCTGGAGGATCTCCTCAAGGAGAAGCTGGAGTGGAATTACTTGGTAGCAGTGAGTGTCACACTACAGGTCCTCATAGTATCTCAATGACAGAGAACAGCTGCACCCTCAGTAGTAATAAGCAAGAGATGATGAAATCATGTATATTGTCAGATGACACTGAGCTTCACCTTCAGTTGTCTGGTATTGACAGCCAAACTGGCAATGCAGAGTCATGCTTAGGAGTAAACAGCAGCCCTATCAGTAGTAGTAAGAAAGAGGTGATGAGATCATGCACATCGTCAGATGAGACTGAGCTTCACCTTCCGTTGTCTGGTATTGAGAGTCAGACAGGCAATACAGAGTCCTGCTTTCTTGATGTCTCTCGACCAGAACTAACACCTTCACTAACAGGAACCGATGATCCTGACATTGTGAATGACATTCCAGAGAATGACAGCCCTGCAGCTAGCCCACACAACACTGCATCAGGAGAGGAAGCACTTCTCTCAGAAGAGGATCTGCACTTGGTGATGACAACATCGGATGAAAGTCAGCTACATAATGATTCTGCTGTCTCAGGAGAAAGTGCTGATGATTTCTTTCTGAGTCCTTTCAAAAAGTTCAAGGCATCAAAGGAGTCAAAACATTCAAAAATGCTTGGAACAGTTTGTGAAAGTGAGCCATTGTGTTCTCCCTCTGCTGAACAGCACCAAACCCCCTCTGCTTCTGACCTTGAGAGTAGTGCAAATCAGTTGAACCTGTGGCAGGAAATGTCCCAGTCTTCTTGCAACAGTGGCAAAGATGATCTCACTTCAGAAGACATTTTCCAAGGGAACATCACAGATGATGATATAACTTGTACACAAGAATCCATGATGAGCGGCATTGCTCCATTAGAGTTGAGTAATGATGCTGATGAACCTGTGAAGGCAACTGAAGAGGCAACTCAGGAAACTTCTTTGCTTCATGAACGGAAAGTTGAAACATTGCCAACCTTTTCACTTCCTACAGAAAGTGATCATGAGACTGTTTCAGAAAATGTTACAGACACGACAAATGGTAAGGGAATTGAATGTCAGCCATGTGACCAAGGATATGGATTTGCCAAATATGGAAGCGCAGGTGGTGCTGTGAAGATCGTGATGAAAGACTCAATCTCTAGTTCTGACACATTGTGTGATGACCATGCTATCAAGGAAAAACCTTCTACGATCGGTCTTTACAGATCTATGTCTGATTCAGAACCCACCTTTATTGCAGAACCACTATTCAGAGTTGATGACAGGAACACCATCATATTTGATGCAGTTGATGATGTACAAAGTTCTGAATGTAGACCCAGTTTCAGTGAAGATCTCAGTTTTCATGAAAAATCAAATATGGATGAAAAAGTTCCCAGTGATATTGATATGGTTGAGCATGAACAGGGTTGTAATCTGTCTGCCTCAAGAAGTGCAGCATCAGATGGTGAAGCTACTGAGGAAAGAGACAGTATTTCAGCTATTGACCTTGAGAGTGCAGATGGTGAAGCTACTGAGGAAAGAGACAGTATTTCAGCTATTGACCTTGAGAGTGCAGATGGTGAAGCTACTGAGGAAAGAGACAGTATTTCAGCTATTGACCTTGAGAGTGCAGATGGTGAAGCTACTGAGGAAAGAGACAGTATTTCAGCTATTGACCTTGAGAGTGCAGATGGTGAAGCTACTGAGGAAAGAGACAGTATTTCAGCTATTGACCTTGAGAGTGCACGAAACAAAACTACCTTACTGCAGCCAGGATCTATGGAAAATTGTTTCCAAAAGAACTTATCACCTGGTATTGAACGAAATTTGGTTGAAGTTCCCGATTTGGACAACTTCTCAGGTCATGAAAAGATAACATATGAGCCTGAGCACGCGACATCAAGTCTGCCAGACGACTACCATACAACAGAAATCTCAAAGAAAACTGATGCCTCAGGGATGACTTTACCATCCATGGAGGTGAATGAATATGATGGTATTGAATCAAGATCACTTGGAAGGGAACAGGTGACTATTGATGATGATAGGATGAAGATGATGAATTACATTGACAGTGTTCCTGAGTCTGAAGAAAATCTAGCAATCATCGATCTCAGGGAAGACACAACAAAGGTGATTGACCTGTGCTCTTTGTCTCCAACTGATTGTCAACAGATGAGTGGGCTTGACAAGGTGGCTACCTCTCACAAGAACCATGATGAGATGGGTGAGCCTGCAGATGATCATCTCCAGAACTGTAATCGTGATGGAGGGGTCTTTGGAATATCTTCGCTTCCATTCCCTGGTCCCAGACATGAAGCTGCAGATGATGAAGCCACAGAAATAAAAGATGATACACTTATAAGTGATGAAGACAGAGGCTGTAGGGTTGCTGCAGGAACTCCATGCGTATCTCAGTGTGTATTACTAGAGGAACAGTGCATGCCAATCATAGTGGAATGTTGGTCTAATGCTCCCAACAGCAGAAAACGCAAAGCATCAGATGACCGAGCAGTTGAGAAGAGATCTTGCCATGCAAATTTGTCATTAAAAGCACATTTAGGAAGTATGGTTGCAGACTTTTTCTTGATCAGAGAAAGTGTCAAAAAATTTCTGACTTGTAATTTGACCAGTGACAAAGAGAAATTGTCCATTGCTTGTCGAGATAGTGGTGAGCTTCAAGAGCAACATGGCCTCAGTCAGGACAGCCAGGGCATTATTGATGGCAAGCTCAGCCTCACTGGAAAAGGGCAAGACTTCAGGGATAGCCGACTTGGCCCTGATGATGGCAAACAAGGCCTTAGTGATCAGCCTCATGGCTTCAGTAATCAGAGTGATGGCCACCAAATTGGTGAGCAGCACTTGAGAGACATCAATCATGATTTGAATGCTCAACATCATGGCCCCATAGAAGGGCTTCGGGAAACAAAAGATGAACAAGGCATCGGTTTTTATGCAAATAATTCCAAAAGTGAATCCTGTCTTAACATCGAGCAGAAGATGATTTCAGCCTCACATGTTGTGTCCCAAGATGTAGTTGCAGCTGGAGATAGTAACACTGCAGTGGATGTTGACAGCATCGAAGAGGAAGCTGAGCTAAAAGTATCCCCTATTGTCATTGACCCTGACATTGATATGCCTGAATGTCCAGCAGTGTCAGCTTCTACCATTGTCATGGAGAAGATTCATGAAAGTAAGGAAACAAAACCTGATATTCTCGAGATATTAGAACCTTCTGGCAGTGTGGATGATGGAGATGGTGTTATTGTCATTACAGACTCAGATGATGAAGTAGACACTGACAACAAGCTTCCCATGGAGACATCAAAGGACGATGCTTCTGGAGAGGACAAGGAGATGTTTCATCAAGATGATCATATACTTCTGATGGAGACAGCAAATATTACTGAGGAAAGCAAGCAGACATATGAGGAGGATGGTGATGATGAGCTGAAGGGGGAATCAAATGGTGACATTGATGCTGATGAAGACACTAAAGTGTCAGGTAGTGGATCCTGTCTTGCAGCTAAGCCAGTCGAGGATGAGGATGTGTCTGACATGCCAGAAGAAGACAAACAAACAGCGACTGATCAGGAAAGCGACGTTGCTGAAGGAACCAAAGAGCCATTTAATCAGGATGATGATGTATTTCACAAGGAAACATCACGTCGTGACAACCCTGAAGAAAGTAAAGTGGCATACAATCAGGATGCTGAAGTATTCAAGAAGTCATCAAAGGGCGACATTTCAGATGGAAGCAAAGGGATATTTGGTCAGGATGTTCTGAAGGAGACATCAAACAGTGACACTCTTGAAGGAAGTGGAAAGGTGTTATATGAGGATGACGATGTACTTCTCAAGGATACATCACCTGGTGCTGTGACGAAAGGAAGCAAAAGGAGCATTGTCAAAGACAAGGACATCTCTCCAGAAGAAACATCCCATAGTTATTCATCTGCAGAAAGTAGAAGTACGTTTGAAAAGGATATTGATATGAATTTGGAATGTGATGAAAGCCTTTGTGCAGATGAAGACACACCAGAAACAGAAAGTAAAGAAACAAGTGGAGGAAGTTGGATGGATGATGTCGAGGAAGAGACCAATGAGGCAAGCACATGTACTTCTGAAGACGGGTTAGACTTAACAAGCTCTATGGATTTTGAGGTATATACTGATGAGGACACTCCAAACCTTGCACTGGAGATGGACGCAGACACAGATGAGGACCCCGTGAATCAATCTGACAATGCTAAAGATGTCCTTGAAACATCAGATCAAAGGTCGTCCAATTCACCCCAAGGTAATTCACTAGAAACATCAGATCGGGGGTTGTCCCGTTCATCACAAGAAACTGCACTAGGCACATCAGCTGAGCACAGCTCTCCACCAGATGCACGTATATCAAGTAGAAGTGCAATAGATGAGCACAGATTGGACAGTGACCAGCTTGGGACGGTACCGGACACAGTTTCAGAAACAGGAGGCAATACTGAGAACACTCCTGCTGATGCATCGAGTCTGGGGAGTTCAGTCAGTGTGCACACCCTTGAGAGTGATTATGACAGTGATGTGTATATAACTGAGTGTAGGCTTGTGGTCACAGTCCCTACTGTGAAGACTGAGCATGAAGATGAGGATGAGGATTCAGACCGTGGTAAAGATGGGAAGCATTCTGCCAAGAAACAAGAACCAAACTTTGGTTGTGGTGGTGATATTCAGACAGTGGACTGTTCAAAGATGGAGTCTAGGAAATCAGGAAACAGGCATGTGCAAAACACTGGAGTCACTGACAGCTTGTTTGATGAGGATATTCTCAATAATTGTGAAGCTGTTCATTTGAATGACAGTTCAGGGTTTGACATCAAAGAACAAGATGATCCTGAGATTGATACTGATGAAGACACTGAAGTGTCAGGTGGTGGAACCTGTCTGGCAGATGCCCAAGTCGAGGGTGAGGATGAGGATGAGGATGTGCCTGATAAGACAGGAGACAAACAAACAGAGAGTGATCATACTGTAGAATCAGCTGCAAAAGAAGGTGGAGGAAAAAGGGGGGAAGCCATTTGTTCCAATGATGTCCATGTCACTAATATTCCAAGTGATGCTGATATTAAGTTTGAGTCAGCATCAGTTCTAGCAGATTCATCCAGAAACACTTCAGAAGGTGCCAAGGATCTCATCAAGAAGGATGATCATGAGTTTACACCTTCTGTGGATTTGACCCAAGAGGTTAACTGCTCCAGTAAGAAGACAATGGCATTATTTTCAGATGGCGCAAGATACAGTCCCAGTAAGGAGGCCATTGTAGCTCTGCCTGATCCTGCTGTAAGAGAGACATCTGGTTCCTCAACAAAACCGGCTTCCATTCCAGTGCACTTTCACATGGACTTCTCAGAAGATGTGGACAATACCAGCAGCCCAGGTGTGGATGTGGGCAACATCATCGCTGGTTTGGAGCAGGACAACAGTGACACAGATTCGGACAGGAGATGCCGATCAGGTAGTTGAAGTCTCTACTAAATATCACTAGGGTTAAAATATATTTTGCAAGAATTTGTACAGATACACTTAGAGTCTGAGAAACAAAAATGTTTGTGTAATATAAATTTTACTAATATATTGTATACAGAAATTCTGTGAAGATCTGGGTTAGAATTAGTCTTCAGCTACCTGAGCTGTTTGTAAGAGGTGACTAACGAGAGTGGGTGGTCAGGTTTGCTGACTGGGTTAATGCATGTCATCATATCCCGGTCGTGTAGACTGGTGCTCATGATATCCATCACTGGATTGTTTGGTCAAGACTCGATAACTTACAGACTGTCATCATGTAGCTAGGAAATTGCTGAGCATTAAACATACATGACACAGTCATTACATGTTAATGTGTTACATAGCTGTGCGATTATATTTATTATGTCCATTTTACTTCTTGAAGATTCCCTGGATGATATATTTGATGATACCTGTCACAACACCAGCAGTTTTCAACCAGAGACTGCTGGAACCGATACTGTTGGCATCACGTCGGTATTGGTTGACTCCGGTGACAGAACAGCTCCAGGCCTTGTTCCACGAACTTCAGTATCAACTTCTAGAAAAGAACATAAGATTGTTTTAATTGATCCTGCCAAAGAACTGTTAGATTTGAGCTGCAAATCATTGGGTAGAATCACCCCTGAGGTTCGTACGGAAGCAGAGTGTGCGACTACTGTCACCCCAGAGAAGGGGAAAGAAAAGAGACAGGATGTGTCCAGGACCAGTGAGTCCATAAATAATAGCTTCGAAGAAGATGGCGATCGGTCGTCATCAACTTGTGGCATTGCAGCATCCACGGAGGAGGATGATAATGTTGAAGATTTTCCGATGTTGTCGGCTCCAAACAAGAGGAGACTGTACAGACAGGATAATGCGAAATCTGAGACAGTGAGGCCCAGAGTGGAAGAGGTCGCTTACAGCTCGGATGAAGATACCTGTTACTCTGTAGCCATTTCGGATCAGGATGTAGACTTCAGCTACAGCAGAAGTACTAAAAGTTATGAGCTGGAAGATGAAGTTGATGGTAGTCGGAATGCCAGGGACATCGACAGCACTGCTGAAACCCAGCCTGGTGTCTCGTTGATGAATGTCGAGACCCTCAGTAGTCAAAGGATGTGTATGTCTATGGATGACCTGTCCAACTCCCAGCTGAGTCAGTTGGACAGAAGGCTCTCCGCAGCTCCGGAGGAAAATCTAAAAAATGTCCGGCGTAGAAGTATATTAGAGAGAGTTCGGTCCAATCGTAGGAATCGTCAGCAGTGTGACATGACAGTACAAGATGAAGGTGAAACCCAAAACAGGAATTCCGTCAGTCCTAAAAATGTCCGGAGCAAAGTAGAGGATTCTTTGACCAAAGTGGAGGACTATTTGGCTAGGTAGGATTATTCAGTGGCAATTGTTTATGGATTTTTGTGAAAGAAATGCAGTTATCAATCATAGGTAGAGTAGGCATTCATGTGATATAATGATGTGTTTGTGTGAACCTTTCTTAAAAACAACTTGATATTCTTTCAAGAAACTAAAGATGAGGAAGTCAACTGGTACCTTTTGCAAATTTTAGATTTTTATTTAAAAAAATTCTGTTTACATGGCAACGAGTGTTCACAGATTGTTGTTTTCTTTGGTACACATACAGTGATTAAATAAGCTTAGCTTTTAATTCTGGACCTTTAAAACAGGTATCTGGCATACAAATACTAAGTCCTGAATCCTATGTGCATGTATTTCTTTTGATATCTCAATAAATACTCATATATATATTGGCAGATTGATTAAATAGGAATAATCTCTTCAAGTTGGACAGATCTCTCTTGTCAGACTTGCTGTAACAATCACATGATGACACAATTGTAGGATCAGAGTGTTTGTGGTTTCCTGGTGACTTATATTTGTGTTTCTGGAGGTCATTTGTCATACATAAATGCCCTCTGCTGATGATCTCTCGGTTGCTGTGTTTTGTTTAGGTGTAAGAAGATCCTGGCTATACTGACCGACTCTTTCAACACCACACAGGTCAGCAGCAACCCGACAGTCCAAGCATGGCGGTAAGTCCTAGGATTTACGTGGGGCTCTCCATTGGAGATTCCAGTAACTGGAAATAGTGGTCTTTGACTTCTGAGTGGAAGAGAGGGAGGTCTGTGGTTCAATTCCAGACATTAAGAGATGGCACTTGTTATTAATCAGCTGAAACAAAGTTGATTTTCAGGTGTACCACCAAGCTTGCCAAGTTTGTGTTTTTTCATACCAGAAGCCGAAGTGTTTTCATGGTCAACTTCTTTGAGTGGCATTTTGGAAGCTGGAAAGTACAAAAATTACAAACTTTATGGATAACAACTTCTTTAGTACGAGAGTGTGACATTTCGGTGCAGATTCTTGTACCATTGTAAAGCAGTTCATGCAAGAATCTGTATAGAAAAGTTTATCATTTGTGTTTTCCTGGTCACTTGCCATTTTTTGGAATATCTGTTGTGTGTGCGTGTCATTGTTTCATGGTTTTGACAGGGATGAGCTACAGACACTACACAAGACTTTACAGCTTCCCACGACCATCATAGCTGTTGTAGGGGACACTGGTGCAGGGAAGTCGTCCCTGCTGAACGCCCTGCTCAATCAGCCTTCTGTTCTCCCGACGTCTGGAGTGCGAGCCTGCACAGCTGTAGTTGTTGAGATTGTGGAAAATACACGCAGCCAAAACTTTAAGGCTGACATCCATTTTCTCTCCAAAGAGGTTTGTAATTTGATGCCTTGTCCCCTAATGTACGTATAGTTTCTGTGTATCCCCTCGGTACATATTGTTACGAGAGTGTGTTTGTTGTAATTTGTGATATCATTGATTGACTGAGAGTTATTATGGGTCACAATGTTTAGAGTTTTGAGTGTGGGTTGTGGGTCACATTTAGCATCATATATGTTCAATGGCAATACTATTTTTAGCGGTACGCCTTTTGATCGCGCTTCAGAGTTGCCTCCCTTGACTATCTTACTTGTTCTGAGTGGATAGTGATGCTGCCTATCTTTACTAGAACGCTCGAGAACTGTGTAAGAGCTATATAAAGGCTGGTTGTTGTGTTGACACACGGAATCACACACAGACTCTTTATATCACTGGAGTTGTGTACATGTGTCTTCCTTCGTCAGCATCGTCTGACCTACGTTCCATACTGACACTGCATGCTTTATTCAACTCTCATTGTAAACAACCTTCAATTAGAATATCTGCTCTCACTGTAAGTTAGTGAGTTAATATTTTATATTTGTGTCCATTACTTTAGATTTGTGACTCAATTGCATTGTACTAGATATCTGTATTGTCATTCATTGTAGCTTGCTCATTGTTTGCTCAATATATTATTGAATATTTTAGACTTGTGTGTGTTATATTTTGCTGGTTCAAAGGGAATTCTTAAACGTTTTGTCACAGCAGTTATTTAACCATAACAATATAGTTTGGTGTATCCCCTGATGTATGTAACTGACTTCGTGGTGCTTGGCATTAGTGGGTAAAACAAGCTCTGGTGGGCTCGGAATCAGTATAATGTGTCTGAGTGGGGTATTCAAGCTCAGTGACCTAGCTCTATAAAACCAGCTTAAGTCTGGGCTGGTACAAGCTGCCACACATGCACGTCGTCATATGAGTGAAATATTCTCAAGTATGACGTTAAACCCCATTTCACCTCACCTCACCTCACCTCACCTCACCTCACCTCACCACTCTGTGTATTCCCTCACAACGCTCTGATATTCCCAGAGTGTGTGTATATCCTTTTTTTTCCTTCAGGAGTGGCAGGAGGAGCTTGAGGTCCTCCTGAAGGACCTGACCAAGAGAGACGGCAGCCTGCAGACAGCACAGCCTGACCCTACATCAGAGGCTGGCGTGGCATACGCCAAAGTGAAGGCTGTGTACGGGAAAGTTCGCCAGATGAAAGTCCTCCTTAAACAGACTCAGATCACGCAGTGGCTCAGCAGGGTGAAGACAATCTCTGTCCAATCTGTGAGTGTGTCTCTATATAGGGGGTTGAAACTCAGGTTCAGAACTTGTGTAAACTGCAAGACACACTCCTTCCTTCTTCATCTGAATTAAAGACGGGTCCAAGTAACTGTTAAGAGCCCAATGGTCTGTGACTCAACATGACAAGTTTGGTTTCATGTGTAAAAAACAATACTAGTTTATGCCAGAAGTGGAGCTATGAAACACTTGGTTAATCTGCCCATTGACGATACACTGATCATTTTGGGAATACTGGTGCTGGGGAAGAGAGGAAATAGCTGGTAACAACATGAGAGTGCTGTCTTTTACCTGTCAAGTGAGTCAGACAATCTTTGTGATCTGTTCCAGGCCAAAGCACTCCGAGATGCAGTCAACTATAGTCATACAATGTTTGTGATCTGTTCCAGGCCAAAGCACTCCGAGATGCAGTCAACTTGAGTCATACAATGTTTGTGATCTGTTCCAGGCCAAAGCACTCCGAGATGCAGTCAACAAGTTTATTGAGAATACAGACAGTGGTTCTCGGGGCCAGCAGTTTTGGCCAATAGTGAAGAGGGTGAAGCTGTACCTTCCATCTTGTGAAGTGTGCAGTAGTGGTGCCGTCCTTGTCGACCTGCCGGGGGTACGTGATGCCAATGCAGCGAGGGATAAGATAGCCAAAGAGGTGAGATATGTTCTAGAGATAAATTCGCTTTTGTTGTATGGTTTTCGAACAAATATCTTCCCTGGTTTTCAACCAAATATGATCCCTCTTTGACGATATTGGTTAGAACTGCTCTGCCCATGCTTGTCGTGAAAGACAGCCAACATGGTTTGGTGGTCAGGTTTGATTGATGCTTGTCATCATATCCTAATTGGGTAGATCGATCAATCACTGGACTGTCTGGTCCAGACAGCGTTATTTTCATGCTGCCATCAGATAGGTCGAATATTGTACAGCAGTACATAAAACAACAAACAAAATCATAAACAAAATAATCAAACTTCACCGCATGTTTTCTATTTTGGCTTCTTTTCTCTGAGTTACCTGAGACAATTTGAAATGATTCAAATTTCTAGATATACATAAAGAAGTAAAACAGTGAATTAACATCAGTAACATTGTTTTGTCAACATCAGATGTATTTTATTGGGCATCAGCCATGGTGTCAGAAACCCTGTATAGCTTGGTCTGGGTGGTGGGAGTATATTAGTGTTGATGCCTGTGTTCCTGTACTTGAAGAACTATAGCTCATGAAAGTCAATCTGTAGACATGGCGATGCGGACCCCTTTAGCCAGTCAAGCTGCTGTCGGACTGACCCCTACCGTCTGGTGTGGCATGCCAGAGTTTCCCTCGGAGGAGAGGTGGGATGCAGTCAGGCGTCTCGAAAACGTCCTGCTTCCCCAGACATCCCGTCCATCGCAGCAAAAGTCTAAGAGGGCCTCGACTTCTACGCATAGCGCAGACTTCGTAATCCCAAGGCAGCATCTACCTCCAGGGAAAAAGCTAAGAAGTCATCAAGAACCTTCTCTGGCGAGATTCTTCCCGGCAGCTGAACTGGGCTTTGTATGATGATCAGCCGATCATCATACCCGATCTACCAAGAAAGCGACCAGTATCAGCAACAGTTACGCGTCAGCAGAGATCGCCATGCAGCCTGATGTGTCCATTCCGATGTCCGGACGATCTTCCTGAGGGGCCCGTCGCTAACATCGCAGAGGGGCATCGACTTCTTCGTGCGCGCAGAGCGTCCCGGACGACATGATGCAGCAGATCATGAAGAGATGATGGAGGACCGTTACAGACTGCGGCAACTCAGCAGAGCTCGCATGAAGGCTCCAACGCGAGCGACTTCCCAGAGGGACAACCCGTCAAGCGTGGCGAACCGCGACTAAACCACCTTCAGAAGGAAGTCACAGTCTACCTCCACGAAAGGACCCAGATGTACAGCCTGCGAAGGGGTTACAAGATCGTCACATTCCCGGACTCTGATGATCATCACTCACGAACAGATTCCAGAAGGAAGACTACATCATCCTTGGACTCAGACTCGGACCCCAGGACTTCCGCGAAAAGCCTTCATTGAAAGTCAGAAACGTCCTCCCCTAGATTTGGATACAGTTAAAGCTTCCAGCGAAGGGCCTCCGCGAAGGACATCAACAGCAGGCTCTAAATCTAGGCGGTCATCGGCCGGATTCCTCAAGGGCTTCGAAGTTATCAACATTCACCTCACAGAGCTTCCGCGAAGGTCAACTTTTTTCACGCAGTTCGTCAGGCCACTCACCAAGGCGATCTCCGGCGCCATTCACCACGTCGATCATCACATCATTTACCTCTTCGGTCTCCTGCGTGAGATCACCACGGAGATCTCCATGCAGGTCACCACACAGGTCTTCACAGAAGTCACAGTACAGATTGCGCCTATAGCGTCACCCGGTACAGCATTAGAAGCAGAAGAGCATCAACCCCCTTTATCGGGCGATCCCAGTACAGAAGATGATGGAGGCATCATTTTCTCAGGCAGCTGAGATACAATGTTACTGGATGGTTAACAACTTAGACCTGTCGCTACCTTCCAGAATGACAACCCGGCGATACCTATATGATGAAGAGAACGATGCTGATGCCATCACCTTGCACCTCTCAATCGACTCCGATTGCTGCGATTATAAGAACTTGGACACAGCCTTCAGCAAAGCCACTAAAGCCCAAACAGCACACTTCTACGGCTGTTCCGCGCTAACAAGTTCTCAACCCATAATATGGAACCCATTCCTAAAAAGGCACAAGACATTGATGATAACTACAAATTGATCAATGATGTCAAGAATAAGAACTATAAGATTGATGATGCCATGCAGTTGGTTCAGTTAGAAACCATGACTAGGCTGAATGTTCTTTGGCCTTAATAGATCTAGAGCGATCAATGAGACTTCTCTATCACCGTGAATTTCGAGACCTGCGAAATCTGAAGATAATAGGATGATCTACTGCGGCCCTACTTATGCAAAGAAGGACCAGCAGTTCCTAACGGATCATCTCTACAGCAGTCTCAGCGAAAGCGGTAACTCTTAGCCCGTCGTCAAGGCCTCCATAAGCTTCCTGCAACTGGGGTTGAGCAGTTTACGGCTCCACTCTATACAGCCCGTGGTCTGCTCCATCCATCTTCAATCGGAGAAATAGACAAAGTCTCCAAGGAAGTCACTAAAGGATTCCAGAGAAGTCCTTATGATTAAGTCTATGGATACGCTAGCCAGCGTCATCAGACAGGACGATCACAAAGATATTCAGGAAAATCTAAATTCACTGGATTACAGAGAGCACAGGGATAGGAAGATGGCCGGCTCCAGGGAAGATTCTTTCGTTAAGCCCATTTGGCAACTACAGAGGAGGATCAGGGAAGAGGGCAGGGCACCCAGAGGTTCCGCAACTATAACACGATTGAAAGTCAGGTTGGGGCGACTGGAGTCTTCCACCCCCAGCGTTCAGTACAACCCGGAAATCTACAAGTGGGTGGGCGCCTTCAACTACACTGGGAGAACTGGGGAATATTACAAGACCCATATGTCTCCAACATTCTTCGACAGGATATCGTATCCAATTAAGAAGCCACTCTCGTTGACCCAGTCAACCCTCACAGAGTTCGACTTCCTGACACAACAACTACCAAAGAGAAGAGGCTGTTACTTCCCTCCTGACCAAGCAGGCCATAGAAGTACTAGATCAAGTAAACATCGAACCAGGCTTCTGCTCCCGAGTTTCCTGAGTACCCAGGAAAACTCCAGGGAAAATACAGACTCATCTCTACAACATGAGCACGTTCAGCAGGGATTATCTAATGGAAACCACGAAGTTTAAGCATGATACATCTACGCCAACTCACGGCACTTAATCCGTCCCATGGATTACACTTAAGCCCGTATGAATCTTCAAGATCGTGCCTACATCCGATACATCCCGAATCCAAAATACCAAAAGCGGTTTACACTGGAAGCCGGGCTGCATTACCAATGGAAAGTGCTCCCATTAGGAATATCAAACGAGCCCATGTTTATTCACAAAAGATGCCAAAGACGCCCATGCGTCACATGCTTACATGCGTCTAGGGAGACTGCGCGAGTCGCGTTTTACCTGCGACGGCCGGGATACAAGTAGATCCAAGATCCACAGCATCTCAGAAGAAGCTACAACTAGACTGCATCATCAAGCTACTAACACGAAGCTGGGATGGTTAGTGCAAATCCTACTCAAATGATCGGACCTAGTACCCTGCTTAAGATCTGCAATTCCTAGGCATCCGATTTATCAAGACTCTCAACCGTATCGTTGTACCAGAGACCGTTGACTCAAGATCCAACGAAGACCATTTCCAACAGCTCTACTCTCTCCGTTACCCTCGACAATGGCAGAAGTCCTGTGGGTCTCCTCCGTCCAGCCCAAGATATGACACTCCAGAGGCAGGCTACGGATTCGCCCATTACGGGTCTTCATCAATGCTCATCTCGATGATACTACAACCATTCAGTCTATCGGTACACCTCAGATATCATCTACTTATGGTGGACCAGAATTCGAATGTCTGAAGGCATTTATTTAACAGAGCGGAATTGATAACCACCTCTATGTGAACCATTAAGCTCCAGGGTTGAGGGAGCTCATCACCGTGGCCCGGACGGGCTTCGAGCATATGGAATCAGCAAAGCAAGCTCCATGTAAACGTAATGTTAGAGATGGCGGTAATCAGCGCCATCGTCATTTGGAGTACCATTCTGCACAAGGGCACATCTGATGATTCCTTGCCGACAAGCTCAACAGTGAAGCGTTATGTGAACAAAGGCAAGGCTTGTGAGAATCATCGAGCCTATTATTGACTGTATGCTTTCAACTCAACGATCTCAGCTTTACCATGTCGATGCAAACCATTCAGACCAAGAATGTACTAGCAGGCGGCACTTTCTTGGCCCATACCTACCGTCACCGACAGAATGCGGATGCTCCATGCACGAGAATGCTTGCTCCAGATTATCAAGCTTAGTAGGAGCTCGCTGTAGTAGATCTGTTAAGCCACCAGGCTTCAAACAAACAAACTAAAGACATTACATTATCCGCAGTCCAGGATCCACAAGCATAGACAGCGGGCGCTCTAAGCATATCCTGGGGAAGGCCTCAGCAGCGTCGCTGTTTCAAAGCCACCAGTACTAATCCCTCAAGTGTTACAGAAAATCAGACAAACACAGAGTACAACTGACTTTGGTGTGGCTCCTTACTGGCCAGCCAGAGCGTGGGTTTCCCATTCTAATTCAAAAATCGGACCAGCCAACACTAAAGCTACCAAAAGCTCGAGATCTACTAATACATCCTCACAAACACAGAATACGAGAGCCAAGAGTATTCCAGCTTCCGCGTATGGACTGTATTAAAGTGTGTTTAAACAAGAGAGGATGATATTCTACAAAGGCGGCAAAAGCAGTCAAGCTTGCTTATCACGGCTATTCAACTCGTAGCAATGCGGCGACAAGTGGACAAGTTTTGAAGAGTACGCAACAAAGAATGGATTTTTCAATGAGGAAATGCTACACATCCACAGAGTGGCTGATTATCTGTGTTACCTCGTCAAAGGAAACATTTGAAAGGCTCGACATTGTGTCAGCATATCTTGCAGCTTAGTTCCAGTCATTACCATGAGAGCGGGATTGTCAAGTTAGCGAAGGCGCCAGAGTTACTGCATGCTTGCTCGCAGCTCTTTTAGTTTGGAAGATCAGAAGCAGAAATTCCAGCTCCAGCTTGGGATCTCTAATATGCAGTGCTTCAACACCTCACAGAGTGAAGTTTATGAACGTTAGAATCAACCACGTTTGAATTTCTCTCACAGAAGGCGGTATTCCTGTTCCTTCGCTATGCTTAGCGGCAGCCAGGATGTCAGAAATTCAGCTACTAGATTACGAGAGGATACAGTTTGATGACAATCATAACACAGAAGTGCACCTGGGATTGCGATGGGACTTTATTGCCAAAATCAATTGCCAGGTCAACCAGACGAACTATTCCATATCCCTGCACTATCCTCTATTCACCGGATCTCAAGATCGTTGGACTTATCTCTATGCCGAAGTCAAAGGCTCAAATCTATCTACGATGTTCCAAATCGAGGCATACGACATCTCAAAGCGATTATTCATCCCTTTAGCGGCTACAAATCAGACTGAGGTCTCACCGTACCACCATATCTATATGGATAAGAACTTCTATCATGCCAGCGCCTACAAGGCTGCGGGACTGGACCCTCAAGAGCGCTAATCCTCATGAGATCAGGCGGTAGCTTCCAGCTCGCTTCCGCGGTAACTGTTCACTAAATACCATCATGGAAAGCTGTTTTGGAAATCTGACATGGTGTTTTGCTAATCACTATCTGAGAGATATCTCTCCACTGGGGCGTCTCAGGTATTCACCATTTCGGTCCTCTGGTCCTCGCCTTTGGCAGTTGACAGTCCCTGCATTAGGCGATAAGACATAGTCTTTACAAGATTATTATGTATATTCATACCTGTATTATCTAAGCTTAAAACTCTCTCTCACGGAGTTGTTAGGGCCTATTGATATATTTATATAAGTCTAGTTAGTCTTAAGCCCAGTACTATGTTATGTACTTTTGGATAACTTCTCCATGTTGGGGTTAGTTTTGGTTTTACCTGTATTGATATATGTTTATTATGGTAATACCCCTTCTGTGGCAGTGTATGAAACTTATGGTTTATAGTAGCAGGAATTATCTAATTTAGTGCCAATATAAGTTCCCGTTAGGGGGTTATTACAGATATAATAATATATAAATCACTAAGTACTCTCATAAATCCAAAGTATTCTGTTCTGTCCCACCCCTCCGATTCCGTCGGATCACTACCAAACAAAGAGCATGAGTCAGGGATAAGGGAAAATATGTCTTAATTTTTGAGTAAAATTGATATTTTATACTATATCCTGACTCATGGTATGCTTCCCTCCATCCTCCCACATAACACTTTAGGATTTCCCTGTAAATTCAAGGTGTTGGGCTCGCAAAATCAGGGAGAGAGTGAAGCATGAGGCCAGAGGGTGGCACCACCTTTCCCGCACTGTAGGGGAAGGGGAGGCAACTTTCGGGGGTGAGTACTATTAGTGATTTTTACATTGAAGGGGGCTTCAATTGGGGAGATACAAAGTGTTCCACTGTGTGCTTAGGAGGAAGAAGACAAGCAAAAGGAAAAAAGGTCAGGACCAAGAATTATAAAATATCAATTTTACTCCAAAATTATATTCCATGCTTCCTTCCATTAATTCCACTGCTGTTCCATTTCCTTCCATTATCCACTACCATTTATTCTCCCCCCCACTATTTTCCTTCCAATCCCTATTCCATCTTCTCTTTCATTTATCCATCCACTTCCATCATTTCATCCACTGCTCCACTATTTCTCATTATTTCCTTCATTTTCCTTCATTTCCTTCATCCTTAATTATTTAACTATTATGTAACAAGCCTTTGTATTCTTATTTCCTTTCCTTCATTCCGTTAGATACTGTGTCCGCTGTCTATTTCTGTTTCACATACCATTCATTCCATCCTTGTCCATTTCCTGTGTCTGGTTCCTCAGGTCTCCATGTGCTATTTCCTATACACTGATCCGTGTGTGTCTGATTCCATTCCATTCCACAGGCTGGTTTGGACCATCTGTGTGTCCATGCTGTGTTCATGTGTGTGCTGTGTGTCTGATTCTGTATATTTATGTGGGGTCCTTTCTGTGTTTCCACCCTGCGTCCGGGCTTCCGGCCTGGGGCCACGGGCTTCCGTGTCGGTCTCTCTGTGTGGTCCTGGTTCCACTTGGCTGTGCCATTTCGTCCATTATGTGTATGTTGGTGTCTGGTGTGGGTCCATGATTCCATTGTTGTGTGTGTGTCCCTCACTCACGCCTGTGTTGTCTGTCCTTGGTCGGGCCGCTCCTTCCTGTCTGTGTTCAGTACATGGGGTCTGTGTGTCTGTGTTCCTCCAGTCTGGTGCCTGTGTGTATACCTGTGTTCTGGCCATGGGGTCGGGATTATGCGTTCATACCACACTGTGTCCTTGGCTCCAGTATGGGGTGGGGCTATGTGTGTGTGTGCCACATGTTCCTGTGTGGTCATGGTTCTGTGATTCTACTGTGTGTGGTCTGTGTGTGCCTGTGTTGTGTGTGTGGTGGTCTGTGTTCAGTGTTTCTGTGTGTGGGGTCGGTCTCGTGTGTGGACCTCTTCTCCCTACCCCATTCACCCAACTCTCTTCTCCCTACCCCCATTCCACCCCAGCCCCCTTCTCCTACCCCATTCACCCAACCCCTTCTCCCTACCCCATTCCCACCCAACCCCTTCTCCCATCTCCCAACCCCTTCTTCCTACCCCTTCTCTCTACCCCTTCTCCCAACACTTCTCCCTACCCCTTCTCCCAACACTTCTTCCTACCCCTGCACCTGTTGCTATCTCCTATATACTACCCTACCCCTTGCAGTCTCTCCCTGCTCCCTGCTCCCTACACTTGCCCACTGCCCGAACGCCTATGCTACCCCCTGATGTTTGCCACTGTTTCAGTCCTGTACCCATGACAGTAGTGCCTTTTGCCCTTCCCTTCCTGGTAGGGCTCTGACGGGTACTCGAGTACCCGGTAACGGGTTGGGTACGGCAGGACTCGAGTACCCGACAAAAGGAGATAACTCTAAACTAAACGTGACCTCATGTGCAGTCATGGGTGAGAAAAAGGTCGAACGTATGGGCCCATTTTGATCTTGACACTTCAAAACAACAAAACCAAGTGTTGCCTTTGCGTTTGCGGAATTATGTTGAGTTATGCAGGGAGCTCAACAAGCTCAATGAGAAAACATATTAACGTGTTTTATGGAAAGATTTCGTGTAAGTTTTCAATCAATACAGATGTTATAACTTATAAATGCGGCGTTCTTGTGTAAAATTCCGTTGAAAACTACTTAAAATACACTCACATAGCTCTCACTATTTATGCTATAATTTTCGGGTACTCGAGTCCGGGTTGGGTTTTATCCCCAGTGTACTCAAGTCTGATTTTTGCTACCCGTCAGAGCCCTACTTCCTGGTCTATGGAAAGTGCTCCCTCTTCCTTGTCCCCTGCACTACCCCGCTACCCACATGCTATAAACATGAATAAACCAATAAATGATATCTTGTAACTCCAGGTTGACTCCTAACTTCGAGACCCTGAATAATCAGCTGAAGACAGTTTTGGAGGAGTTGTCTGTCCTTGAATCCCGTCAGAAGCTCCTCAAACAAAAGCGGAGGAAACAGAAGTCTGAGATTGCTACGATGAAGGAGGACTACCAGGACTTGAAGAAGGAACTTGACCAGGAGCAGGGCACCTTGGACGAGGCGGTAATGCATGGGCTGATTAATTTAACCATTTGCCTTAAAAGGTAAAAAAAAATGTAGATCAGGATTCCTCAAAGTCTTAAAGGATATGACAGTTACAATCAGTGTGTGGAAGTTGTTTTAGCACAAGTTGCTGTAGTCGAAACAGAAACGAACCAATATATTTCCTTAGTTACGTTACCACAGGGTTGGAGGACTGTAGGGTAGCCCAGTGGTTAAAGCGTTAGCTCATCACACCGAAGACCTGGGTTCGATTCCCCACATGGGTACCATGTGTGAAGCCCATTTCTGGTGTCCCCTGCCATGATATTGCTGGAATATTGCTAAAAGCAGCTTAAAACCATACTCACTCACTCACTCACTCACAAGGCTGTATTTTACTGTAATAAACAGTGGACTTTGTGACTGATGAGAAGGTCAGAAGAAATTACGAAAGTTTAATTCAAGGAATTTGGCACCTGTGTGTTAGACAAAGACCTCTTGAATTTCAATGTTCGAACTCTGTACCAAATTGTCCTGATTAACTATGTGTCATGCCTATTTTGATAGCTAATAATGTGTTATACTTTGGACAGTAAGAATTGTTATTCATCTTTAATATAATTATAAAATGTTCTCATCACGATATGGCTGAAATATTGCCGATGTGACGATAAATATTAACTCACTCACTCAGTAAGAATTGCTAACAATGTTTTCAACCAGTACTTTAGTCTGTGTACCAGCTTGTGTTGTTTCCGGTCAGGCTGGGGTCCTGTTGGCTAGTACTGTAAGACACAGCATAGAGCTGCTGGTTGTGTTGTTTCAGGTCAGGCTGGGGTCCTGTTGGCTAGTACTGTAAGACACAGCATAGAGCTGCTGGTTGTGTTGTTTCAGGTCAGGCTGGGGTCCTGTTGGCTAGTACTGTAAGACACAGCATAGAGCTGCTGGTTGTGTTGTTTCAGGTCAGGCTGGGGTCCTGTTGGCTAGTACTGTAAGACACAGCATAGAGCTGCTGGTTGTGTTGTTTCAGGTCAGGCTGGGGTCCTGTTGGCTAGTACTGTAAGACATAGCATAGTGCTGCTGGTTGTGTTGTTTCAGGTCAGGCTGGGGTCCTGTTGGCTAGTACTGTAAGACATAGCATAGAGCTGCTGGTTCTGTTGTTTCAGGTCGGGCTGGGGTCCTGTTGGCTAGTACTGTAAGACACAGCATAGAGCTGCTGGTTGTGTTGTTTCAGGTCAGGCTGGGGTCCTGTTGGCTAGTACTGTAAGACACAGCATAGTGCTGCTGGTTCTGTTGTTTCAGGTCAGGCTGGGGTCCTGTTGGCTAGTACTGTAAGACACAGCATAGAGCTGCTGGTTCTGTTGTTTCAGGTCGGGCTGGGGTCCTGTTGGCTAGTACTGTAAGACACAGCATAGAGCTGCTGGTTGTGTTGTTTCAGGTCAGGCTGGGGTCCTGTTGGCTAGTACTGTAAGACACAGCATAGAGCTGCTGGTGTGTTGTTTCAGGTCAGGCTGGGGTCCTGTTGGCTAGTATTGTAAGACACAGCATAGAGCTGATGGTTGTGTTGTTTCAGGTCAGGCTGGGGTCCTGTTGGCTAGTACTGTAAGACACAGCATAGAGCTGCTGGTGTGTTGTTTCAGGTCAGGCTGGGGTCCTGTTGACTAGTACTGTAAGACACAGCATAGTGCTGCTGGTTGTGTTGTTTCACGCCAGGCTGGGGTCCTGTTGGCTAGTACTGTAAGACACAGCATAGAGCTGCTGGTTGTGTTGTTTCAGGTCAGGCTGGGGTCCTGTTGGCTAGTACTGTAAGACACAGCATAGTGCTGCTGGTTGTGTTGTTTCCACGTCAGGCTGGGGTCCTGTTGGCTAGTACTGTAAGACACAGCATAGTGCTGCTGGTTGTGTTGTTTCACGCGTCAGGCTGGGGTCCTGTTGGCTAGTACTGTAAGACACAGCATAGTGCTGCTGGTTGTGTTGTTTCCACGTCAGGCTGGGGTCCTGTTGGCTAGTACTGTAAGACACAGCATAGAGCTGCTGGTGTGTTGTTTCAGGTCAGGCTGGGGTCCTGTTGGCTAGTATTGTAAAGACACAGCATAGAGCTGATGGTTGTGTTGTTTCAGGTCAGGCTGGGGTCCTGTTGGCTAGTACTGTAAGACACAGCATAGAGCTGCTGGTGTGTTGTTTCAGGTCAGGCTGGGGTCCTGTTGACTAGTACTGTAAGACACAGCATAGTGCTGCTGGTTGTGTTGTTTCCACGTCAGGCTGGGGTCCTGTTGGCTAGTACTGTAAGACACAGCATAGAGCTGCTGGTTGTGTTGTTTCAGGTCAGGCTGGGGTCCTGTTGGCTAGTACTGTAAGACACAGCATAGTGCTGCTGGTTGTGTTGTTTCACGTCAGGCTGGGGTCCTGTTGGCTAGTACTGTAAGACACAGCATAGTGCTGCTGCTGGTTGTGTTGTTTCAGGCGTCAGGCTGGGGTCCTGTTGGCTAGTACTGTAAGACACAGCATAGTGCTGCTGGTTGTGTTGTTTCCAGGTCAGGCTGGGGTCCTGTTGGCTAGTGCTGTAAGACATAGCATAGAGCTGCTGGTTGTGTTGTTTCAGGTCAGGCTGGGGTCCTGTTGGCTAGTACTGTAAGACACAGCATAGAGCTGCTGGTTGTGTTGTTTCAGGTCAGGCTGGGGTCCTGTTGGCTAGTACTGTAAGACACAGCATAGTGCTGCTGGTTGTGTTGTTTCCACGTCAGGCTGGGGTCCTGTTGGCTAGTACTGTAAGACACAGCATAGTGCTGCTGGTTGTGTTGTTTCCACGTCAGGCTGGGGTCCTGTTGGCTAGTACTGTAAGACACAGCATAGAGCTGCTGGTTGTGTTGTTTCAGGTCAGGCTGGGGTCCTGTTGGCTAGTACTGTAAGACACAGCATAGTGCTGCTGCTGTTGTGTTGTTTCAGGTCAGGCTGGGGTCCTGTTGGCTAGTACTGTAAGACACAGCATAGAGCTGCTGGTTGTGTTGTTTCAGGTCAGGCTGGGGTCCTGTTGGCTAGTACTGTAAGACACAGCATAGAGCTGCTGGTTGTGTTGTTTCAGGTCAGGCTGGGGTCCTGTTGGCTAGTACTGTAAAGACACAGCATAGAGCTGCTGGTTGTGTTGTTTCAGGTCAGGCTGGGGTCCTGTTGGCTAGTACTGTAAGACATAGCATAGTGCTGCTGGTTGTGTTGTTTCAGGTCAGGCTGGGGTCCTGTTGGCTAGTACTGTAAGACACAGCATAGTGCTGCTGGTTGTGTTGCTTACTGGTCGAGGCATAGTGGGGTTGTTGGCTAGTACTGTAAGACACAGCATAGAGCTGCTGGTTGTGTTGTTTCAGGTCAGGCTGGGGGTCCTGTTGGCTAGTACTGTAAGACACAGCATAGAGCTGCTGGTTGTGTTGTTTCAGGTCAGGCTGGGGTCCTGTTGGCTAGTACTGTAAGACACAGCATAGAGCTGCTGGTTGTGTTGTTTCAGGTCAGGCTGGGGTCCTGTTGGCTAGTACTGTAAGACACAGCATAGAGCTGCTGGTTGTGTTGTTTCAGGTCAGGCTGGGGTCCTGTTGGCTAGTGCTGTAAGACATAGCATAGTGCTGCTGGTTGTGTTGTTTCAGGTCAGGCTGGGGTCCTGTTGGCCAGTACTGTAAGACATAGCATAGAGCTGCTGGTGTGTGGCATCTCACCTGTCTAGGGTTGGTCATTGGTCATGTTGTCAGTCACTGGTTTGTCTGGTCCAGATCGGACTGCTGATTGGCTAACAGTGAGTGAGTGAGTATGGTTTTATGCCGCTTGTAGCAATATTCCAGCAATATAATGGCAGTTGACACCAGAAATGGGCTTCACACATTGTACCTATATGGGCTTCACACATTGTACCTATATGGGCTTCACACATTGTACCTATATGGGCTTCACACATTGTACCTATATGGGCTTCACACATTGTACCTATATGGTGATTTGATACTGTCTTTCGACGTGACGAGCGAATGTTTTAACCAACAGACTACCCCAGCACCCCAGTTGGCTTACACGTACCAGTAACAAGTCTTTTTACTACTGTACCATATATTATACAAGTATGAAACAACGCTGTTTTAAGACTGACCTGGTTTGTGCAGGAGGAAGGTGATATCAGTGTATGAAATAAGGCCCGGCCGAGACGGGATAGATTTCTGACGGACGGTCTTAATTTACAGCTAGCCAGCCCGATGGTCTGGTACAAATTTTAGATCTTCCATACATCTGAGTAAATTCAACATATTTGGTCTGGTTAAATCCCTTTTGGGCTGGTAACATTTTGAAGTTAACAGTCCTGATGTCTGGCTGTTTGGCGTTTTTCATACACTGGTGATATGATAAAACAGGGAGTAGCCGAGTTAAAGCAGGAGTTGGAGAAGATGGACGAAGAGATGCAGCAGAAAGAGGCAGACGTGGCAGATCTAGTGGTTCAGGAGAGGGACGTGGCCCGAGAGGTGGGTGGAAATATTGCAGAACTGGGGAAGTAGGTGGAAATATCTCAGAAACAGGGAGATATGTCTGTTCTCTTGGTCTAGGTAAGGGAAGTGGATGGAAATATCTCAGAAACAGGGAGATATGTCTGTTCTCTTGGTCTAGGTAAGGTAAGTGGATGGAAATATCTCAGAAACAGGGAGATATGTCTGTTCTCTTGGTCTAGGTAAGGGAAGTGGATGGAAATATCTCAGAAACAGGGAGATATGTCTGTTCTCTTGGTCTAGGTAAGGGAGGTGGTTGGAAATATCTCAGAAACAGGCAGATGTGGCCTTTCTCTTGTCTAAGAAAGGGAGGTGGCTCAACAGGTGGGTGAAATACAGTAGAAACGGGCCGACACCAGCCTCCAGTTTAGCAAGTAGTTTCCTTTACCATAATTTGTGAGCATTTCCCCCAATCTTGTCAGTGAAATCTTTTAATGATATTGCTAAAGATTCCCGTTGTGTTGTGCAGATATCTGCCAAGAAGGACATCTGTGATGTTCATCAAAGGAAACTGGTTTCCATGTGTGCAAAGGCACGAAATGAATATTCCATGAAGCAGATAAAGAAAGATTTCAGAGCAGGAATAAGGGTAAGTACTACACTTAATACTTGATTTTTCACACACGCCACTTTCATGTCATGTAAATCAACCCCCACTCATTCACTCACTCTGGTACCCGTGAAGATGCGGGTTAGAATTCGGCAATTCAGCAACCCATCTTGTCATAAGAGGCGACTAACAGGATCTGGTGGTCAGGCTCGCTGGGTTGACACATTTCATCGCATTCCAATTGTGTAGATCGATGTTCATGCTGGATTGTCTGGTCCAGATCTGATTATTTACAGACCGCTGCCATATAGCTGGAATATTGCTGATTGCGGCGTAAAACTCACTCACTCACTCACTCACTCACTCTGGTGTGCTAGGAGTTGAAGCAGAAGTCTGAGAGCGTGTTAGTGGAGGAGGACGATATCCTGGACTATGACGATGGCGACTGTGATGACGAGGATGACACAGGCAACATGGTGGATAACCTGAAGGTGTTCTGTGTCAGCTCCACCGACTATATGAAGATGACGAGCCTGTTGACAGATGTTGATGGGGCACCCCAGGTTGGTTTGACCAATGAGTGGTTTCTTAAGACTGTGGACTAACGTTTAGGGTTAGTGACATGAGGATGAAACTATGGATTAGTCTTTTAACAATTTTTTTAAAAGTTTATGTCACCTATTGTTCAAGATGTCACAAATTCATGACTTTGCTTCTGCTAAACAAGAGGCTTCCTCCAGTAAAGTGTCTGTTTTTGGTTAACTTGTATGTTTTTCTCGCCAAAGTTTCAGGATAACACCATTGATTTACTTGTGATAAACAATCCATAATTCCTTGTGGCTAGTTAGAAATATTCTGAATCTGCAACCATTAGGACAATTGATGATGTTATCGTAAATTATATAAGACAAAGTGTCGACATTTTGTCATGTCACTTACCAACAGTGGAACAGATGACAGATCAGCCAATCAGCGGCCAAATCATGATGCACGGTGAGAATCACTAATACTAGTTTCACTTGTGTCCTTGACCTTGTGGGTAATACGATGTGTATGTGGGTCAGGTATTCAGTACCCCGGAGGAGACCCAGATCCCAGCTCTGAGGGAGTTCGTCCACGCCACCTCTCTACAACGACGGGATCGTGGAGTGCGGCAGGTCGTGGAGAAACTTGGACACTTTGTGTTTGATCTGGATAATTATCTGAAGATGTCAGAGTATAATGGAAAGGTTTGTATTGACTATATGGCACACCCATTAAGATCTGGGTTAACCCATGCTTGTTGTAAGAGGCAACTAATGGGATCGGGTGGTCAGGGTTGCTGACTTGGTTGACACATGTCATTGTATCTCTATTGCATTCATTGATGCTCATGTAGTAGATCACTGGATTGTCTGGTCCAGACTCGGTTATTTACGTGCAGCTGGAATAATGCTGCATGCGATGTTAAACAACAAACAAACAAAAGGCTCTAATTTTTTCTTACCCTAACTCATGATCTTTTGCTTATCTCCCTTTTTCTTGCGAATGCTAGTGGAACACTTGAATCCCTTGAAGTTCCTGAAGCGGATGTAAAAATACACTCACCCACGAGTTACCTCCTTTTCCTCGCGTAAACAGTCATGTGACCAGCCTTACTTGTCACTCTCTCCCTTTTCGCCCAGGTGGATGGTTGGGCGAGCACTGGACTCACATATACAGCATTATATCCTTTTTATTTAGGTCCTATTCTTCAAAATTACGCTGTGTATGGATTTGGCAATAACTACTATGTATTATATGTAAAACAATTGTAGAAATTATTTGTATTTGTGTCTTTATTTCATCGTTATGTAACTTTGTTTACATTTCATGAAATCTTGCAGTGTTTGCAGGCACAGGTTATCTGTGGCTGATCCTCACCCCCAATGCCTTTCGTGCATAAAACCATGTTCTTCCAGCTTGCGCTGTACTTATTGTGTTGATTTATCAAATCTACAATTTAATCAATATTTGTCATATCTATAGATGTGCCATGGATCGTGTATGGAAGTCATCTCAAGTCACGGCTGATAAAACAGGAGATCAGCCTGCAAACTGTATGTTGATTGCTACTGTGGAGATTCATAATACTGGTGCTATGTTGAGTACGTTGCAGGGGCAGTCTGCTGGTACAGGGGCTAAGAAGAGATAGGCTACAACGCAGTTGACTCAGACTCAAGCTAAGAAAAAGACATTGTCTTCTTCTACGTCGCAGACGAAAGCATCTGTTACCAGATCGGAGGGTAAATCTACGCGGCCCAGTAAGTCAACGCATCAGAAATCCTTCAACGAAGAGATATTACCTCCACATGAAGCAGACGTTTTTTGATGATCCCCCGTTACTTCTACCCGAAGTACCTACGAGATCGGCGACTCAATCGACTTCCACAACTACTAGATCGTCTCCTGCAACGGTCACAGCATGCCAGCTGTTTGACGAACTACCACCAACTTCTCAATGGAGTGAAGTTGAGGCACACAACTCATCAGCGTTCGCGAACGCTTCTTCTACACCACAGCAGCTTCAATCAACCCAGAACTTGATCTGGGTGAAATTATGAGTCAATTCACCAACCAGATGATGGCTATGATGGAACGGAGGTTCGAGGAAGAAGCGAAGGCATCTCATCTACTGACACCATGTGCAAACCTACAGACCTGCGCGAACCTACTCCACATAGAACTACGTCTCAAGACTACGTTGGCGAACGTACACCTTTGCGAAGGTCTCCACAGTCTGACGACTTTGTCATCTTGGAGAAGGATAGAAGACATGAGATGCCTACTCACCGTTCTACATCTGCGAACCGTCAGCCTTTTGAGAACATCGAAGGATTCATCTCCTACACATAGCCGTTCTAGATCGAGATCGCATATCTCTCACAGATGTTCGTGAAGTCACTCATCACGAGACAGAGGTTCGCGAAGAGGAAGCTCACATCACAGAGGTTCACGAAGAGATGAATCCACAGATAGAGGTTCGCGAAGAGAGGACTCTCAAGATAGACGTTTGCGAAGGGAGGAATCTTCAGTTCGCGAAAGGATGATTGAGGTTCGAGAAGGGATACAGGTTCGCAGAAGGACGATTCGTGGAGGCATAGCTCTGCCGATCAGGAGATAACTGATGTATAACCAGACTTCGTCTTCCCGGACTCGGAGGTTACAGCTTGGATAGCCAATGGTTTGAACTTGGAGTCTCCTTCTAAGGTTATAGATGAAGTCTACACTTATAAGATGCGTAATGACGACTTTGACTCGGTGACTATTCCTCCGATTGAACCTATATCCAAGGTACCTTCTAACCTACGCACAGCTTTGAGAAAGCTGCAGACATCTACAAGGTTCGAGAACTCTCAGATCTACAGGCAGATAACAGCAACGCAGACATCTACAGGGTTCGCGGACCCTAGGGTTATCAAACCCTTACATCAACAGGCAGGATGTTGACGTCGACTCTATTACCATACGGGGATTAGGATTTTATATCCTTTCAACTATATTCAACATCGGTATTACTTCAAGATCCATACAGACATACGTCTCGACAGCCTCCTTCGTCATGCTGGCTTATGTTATCCACAATGGGAATATGTTATTTATATCACTGAACAAGATTTTACACTTGGGGCAACCCTTATTCAAGAGGTGTATATGAGCGGCGTAGAATTACTCTCGCTTTTACTCAACCAACTAATTGCATCAGATTTTATGGAGGCCAACTTGCTACAACACCGGTGACGTCATGCTTGGAAGCTGATTGGTCCACGTCAGACAACGCCTCCCACTGACAGAGCAGGCTCCAGCATGTTTTCTGATTTATAAACAAACCCGTGGTGCGGGGGAATCCTTCATTGACAGCCTTGGAAACAGTATACAACTACGGCCTGTTAACATCATGGGAATCTAATAGATGTCTAGCCTTGACAGCAGGATAAACAATGTTTATTTTGGAAGTTGTCGCTAATAAAAGTCGGTATGAGTACCTGTCCCCTTTGATGCTACACTGGAGCCAGCCTTGCTATAAATAGACAACGCTTCGATGTATGCTGATCAACACAGATCGCCTGCGTATATAAGGGGAAGAATGATATATCATCACTGCAATCAGAGGTTAGCACTTCCAATGGAACGTCCTACCTATCGTCGGCTCTATGTTTATTCATACGAATAAGAGCCTATCGGCACCTATCAGCATCGAGGTCTACGCAGTGCCGGTTATCTGGACGATGGCATACAGGTTCTTCAAAGTGCCAGTCAACTCAGACAGCAGCTGAACTTCACAATTAAGTTGCTCACGCAACTAGGATGGTTAGTGAACCTGATGAAGTTGGAGTTAGAATCAAACAAGATCTTCAATTGCTGGGAATAAGAATTATCACAACACAGAATCGAATTGTGGTCCCAGAAGATCATTGGGTCAAGATACAAGCCATGATTCCACAAGCAGTCATCCCTCGGATCCCTAACCTCGGCGCAGGACTTGACTCGCGCACAGGAAGGTTACAACTAAGGCCGCTGCAACGGTTCCTGACTAAACATCTGGACAGCGTCGACCCTATCACACACGCCACTTTGATGTAAGTCAACCCCCACTCATTCAATCACTCTGGTACCCGTGAAGATCCGGGTTAGAATTCGGCAATTCAGCAACCCATGCTTGTCATAAGAGACGACTAACAGGATCTGGTGGTCAGGCTCGCTGGGTTGACACATTTCATTGCATTCCAATTGTGTACATCGATGTCCATGCTGGATTGTCTGGTCCAGATCTGATTATTTACAGACCGCCGCCGCCATATAGCTGGAATATTGCTGAGTGTGGCGTAAAACTCACCCTCTCACTCACTCACTCACTCACTCACTCATTCACTCTGGTGTGCTAGGAGTTGAAGCAGAAGTCTGAGAGCATGTTTGTGGAGGAGAACGATATCCTGGACTATTCCTCAAGTGGCGGAGTACCTGTGTCATCTTAGTCAGACTAGACATCTGAAAGGTTCGACACTAGCTACATATCTCGCTGCAATCACTACAGTGATTACCATGGAAACAGGCATCAAGTTGACGAAAGTACCAGAATTAATTGCTCTGCTGAGATCTCTTAAACTGGAGGACCAGCAAAAGAAGTTCAGAGCTCCGGCCTGGGATCTGAATGTAATTCTACGTCATCTTAAAAGTGATGCCTACGAACCTCTAGATCAGACTACCTTCGAGCTGCTGACACAGAAGATTCTGTTCCTGCTTGCGCTAGCCACGGCAGCTCGGATATCAGAGATACATACGTTGGACTTTGGTCGAACCAGATTCGATACGGGGCAACATGCTGCAGTTCATCTAGGACTTAGATGGGACTTCATTGCCAAGAACCAACTACCTGGTCAGCCAGATAGACAGATCCACGTATCTGCGCTATCTACAATCCTCGGACCAGAGGATATAGAGGACCTATCCTTGTGTCCGGTCAGAACCCTGAAGAGATGTCTTCAAAAGACTAAGACAAGGAGACAGAAATTCAAGCGCCTGTTCATCCCATTATCCACAGAGACATCAGCAGAAGTCTCAAGAACGACGATATCGTTTGTGATTAGAGCCGTCATATTGAGAGCCTATAAAGCAGCAGGACTAGAACCTCCTAGAGCTTCCAACCCACATGAAGTCAGAGCACTGGCGTCAACATTGGCTCTGCACGGAAATTGCTCTATATCAGCAATTATGGAGGGCTGCTTTTGGAAGTTTGATACGGTGTTTGCCAACCACTACCTCCGAGACATAGCCACTGAAGACATCTCAGGCATTCACCAATTTGGGCCTCTCGTTGTAGCACAGCAACTAACGGTTCCTCAAAGGCGCTGAGTTGGAAAGTCTCACCATTTATCACGTTGACTTGTTGATAACTTTTACTAAGGAAAAGTATTAGTTTGAAAGTCCATGCGCACAGTCTAGGACAGACTAGCATGAGTGATTAAAGATCCTGTACGGGTAAAGATCTTACCTGAACGTGAAGGGGTCCCAACTCATTTATGATAAAGATCTTATCATAATCTATGGGTTGTTATAGATATCTAGTAAAAAGAAGATACTAGTATATCTTAAGCCACATGAATCAAGATGATTCAACTTGTCTGAGATGGAAGTAAGACAAGAAAGTGGTCCCCCCGAGTTATAACAGAAGCTGGAAGAATAGGGTCACGGAAATGCCATTTCGCAGTTC